GATGAAGACCTTTTAATAGGTGTTACCTGTCTGGGGCCAAAACTGGAGTCCTGCTTTCCCCGCGAAATAAGAAACAATTTCAAATCCCGATAGTGTGCGGCCATCGAGGAGAATTTAAATGAATTGAAGGCTCTGATAATTCCAAGTGCAACAGACTTGGTCCAAGCAGCCTCCCCTTGCTTGATTGAAATCATACTCATTCAAAATCTAGTTACTTTTTCAGAGGCAGTGAAACACGTACAAGGGTAGAAATGGAAATTATCTTTCTAGGGATTGCGACTAAATTTCAGTTGTATTACAGGAAAGGGGTTCCTATCCAGACCCAGAGAGAGAGTTCATGGATCTCGTGCAAAAAAGAATTCAGGGCGAGTTCACAGTGCAAAGGAAAAGCAAGTTTATAAAGAAAGTAAAATGGGGAAAGTACAGCTACTCCATAGACAGTAGGGTGTTCCCAAAAGTAAGAAGAGGAGCACTTCCACCCCTAGGTATGATACTTGTTTATCTAGGACAAGGAAATAAGATCATGGGGAAATGTGCTCTGCTACAAGGGTTTGTGATAAAGGATTAATTTTCTTAATTACTATATTTTGCAAGAATCGATATTATCTTTAAAGCAAAATTAGGAATGCTTTTCTGTTCTCAAGATATCAGGATATCAGGACACTCCCAAGTCTGGGTCTGTTTAGTCAACATTATCAATCTGTTTCCTTAACCCTAAACATCTAGAGGCCAGGAATACCTAACTTGCTGGGAATGCAGTCCAGCAGGTCCTGGCCTTTTTCCTAGCCCCCACTTAAGATGGAGTCGCTCTGGTTCGAACGCCTGACAGTTGTGTTGCTTGCATGCTGTTTATCTGCAAATTCTGGGCAGGTCACTTTGTACACAGGACAGTGTTATGGAAGGCAGACAGTGAAGAGGTAGTGGCTGTACTCTCCCAGAAGGAAGACAAACATTGGTTAGCCACCGACAGGGTGTCCAGGCAACAGTATTAGGTATCTGATACCTGCTTGGTGCCAGTTACTCATCCTAATCAATGAGCAGAACAAATGGAGATCACCACCCTTATGCAGCTTGCATGCACGCACCAGTGAGAGTCCTCCTTCATTTCTGATCCAAGCTAATGATTTTTACATGAACCAGGGGAGGAACAGGGCAGCCCTCTTTAGAAACAAATTCCAAAAAAGAGTGAAAGAAAGGATTGTAATGAAGGCAGGAATTAATAAATGAAGAGAGAGGAGAGGAAGAAAGAGGGAGGGGAAAGAGGAGGAAGGAGAAAAAGGAAGAGGAGGAGGGAAGGACAGGAAGGAGGGAAGGACAGGAAGGAGGGAAGACAAAAGGAAGGAAGAAAAGAGGGAGGGGAGGAGAAAGGAAGGAATAAAAAAGAAAGGATCAAGTATAAGGAAGGAAGGAAGGAACTTAAGAAAGAAAGGCAATGTGATCGATGAGCATTTTTCTAACTAGAGATTTCACCAAAAGGCCCCTTGGCCAGCCCTAGATTACCAAGAAAGAGATCACTGAAAATACCATCTACCCAGTACACTTGAATTCTCCAGCCCTTTCTCCGTGAAGCGTCTGGCCCAAAGCATGACCTGTGGAACCCTTGTGTTTTGCCAAGGGTACTTGGCCTTTCAGGAAGGCACTATTTAAGCGAGGAATTGCTTTGCAGTCCCTTCCTGTGTTCCTTTCACAAAATAAGAAGTCCCCTAATGTGCCCTGCTTGGGGGAACCCAAAGAACCTCCTAGGAAGACTTGTAAATATCCTGCATCAGGAAATCCATTTTCTCCCTGTAACAAAGAGGGTACAAAATGGAATCCTGGCTCCATGCTCTTAAGAGCACGTGCTCCCCTGTCTCGCTTGCCAAGCTTCTGTTTCATGTTATATCTCAACATCTAAATCCTCCAAGAATTATTGTAAAACCTGCTTGTGGCTGAGAGGGAGCCTGTCTGGCTCATTCGGCTCCATAGCCAGTGATAATGAATGGGTCAGCATAATTACCGTGTTTCCTCACACGGGCAGCCAGCTGCTCTGCCAGATTGTGAATTCTTCATTTTCTTTATTTCAAAATCCAGGGTGTTCCTCTGAAAACTTAATAGTTGAACTGTGGCAAGACAGATTTGGAGTCAAAGCCATTCCCACACTCATTTTCTCCCCAGTCCTGAAGCAAGTGTCTCATCTCTCGTTACTTCTGGGCTTTTATGATATTAGGATTTACTCACATTCCCCATTAAGACCCCACACCTCTCTGCAGTTTCAAGCATACCAGTTGCCATGCGATCCAGGAAACTCAGGTGCTAGGAGCTGGCAAAAAAAAGTTAAATAAAATGGCATAATCTGTCTTTAGCAAGAATAAAAAGGTTACAAATAACCTTTATGGTCTTCTCAGATACAAATAGAAAGACAGAATCATTCTGGGTTCTATAATCCTCGTATTTCACCCACATTGTGAGAGAAAGATGTGGTAGAATCCATAGAACAGGACGGCTGTTGTACCTTTAAGAGCACACAGAATTCCAGATAATAAATAGCCTGTTGGTCTTCACTTTGGTCAGGTTCAGGGATTTAATTTGGGTCCTTATAATTAAAAGAGTAATTCAGAATGACTTCTGTGGAGAACCCCACGCACTCCCTTCACACACCATGTAGGTACAAACATATCCTATCTATAGGCATAGGTATAATTCTTGGAGTTGTAAGTGCACTGCATGGCCAGCCTGTCCAACCTCCTCGGTAGTAGCCGGGGCCTCCATTGAGGCTTCTCATGCATTTTTTACCTTCCAACTCTTTTGCCTTTTTGCTCCTTCTGCAACCCTCACCTGGGTCCATGCATCAGTGTGCGTGGAAAGGACTCTGAACGATGGGAAGACATAAGGTGGAACGCTTCTACTCCTGAAGCTGATGGTGGGAAGGGGAGAAGCTCTTCTTGGCAGTTTGGATAGAGGGTGGAGACAACTTTAACATGAAATGAACTACAACCCCTGCCCAGTGAGAGGTTTGCTTTTCTGCAGAAAGCCTGGAAAAGGAGTTTGGTTGTGCTGGGTTAACTAAGAGTGCTTCCTTCATGGTGGGCCTTTTCTGAGCGTTTACTGTGACTCTCCTGGGACAGGGACTTCCCAAATGCATTTTTTCCGAAAAACATTCTCCGTGGACACAGTTTGGGAAACATTACCTGCTGCTTAGTGAGATGGGACAAGCGTAGTCAGTATGGCAAGAGCACTGGGAGGGTTAGAGAAGTGAACTGATCTTGAAGGCAAAAGTGGTTTGCTGGCTCTATGGGCCCTGGTGAGTTAGGATTTGCATGGGGTGGGAGGAAGGGTATCCCAGATAGAGGAAACAGCATTGGTTATCCTGGGACTGAGGTAATCATCAGGTATCCTCTGTGCACACTTTGGGAAACACAGCTTGCTGCTTAGTGAGATGGGACAAGTGTGGTTAGAAAGGTTAGAGCACTGGGAGGGTCAGAGAAGCCAACTGAACTTAAAGGCAAAAGTGGTTTCCTGGCCTCATCGGCCCTGATGAGTTACGATTTGCATGAGATGGGAGGAAGAGCATCCCATATAGAGGAGACAGCATTAGTTATCAGGGGTCTGGGGTAATCATCAGGCTTAATTCCCCTTCCTAACTCCTCCTCGCCTCCTCATCCTGCTCAGAGAATTCTACCCAAGGGAAGATATCCCTGCTCAGAGAATTCTACCCAAGGGAAGATATCCCTGCTCAGAGAATTCTACCCAAGGGAACATATCCCTGCCCACATTCTTCTTATTTGAGACAGAGTCTTGCTCTGTCACCCAGGCTGCAATGCAGTGGTGCCATCTCAGCTCACTGCAACCTCCACCTCCCAGGTTCAAGCAATTATCCTGCCTCAGCCTCCCAAGTAACTGGAATTACAGGCGTGCACCACCACATCTGGCCAATTTTTGTATTTTTAGTAGAGATGGGGTTTCACCATATTGGCCAGGCTGGACTCGAACTCCTGACCTCATGATCCACCTGCCTCAGCCTCGAAAAGTGCTGTGATTGCAGGCAGGAGCCACCATACCCAGCCCCACACATTCTCTTAAGATTTGGGGTCCGAGACTTCTCCCATATTTGTAATCATGGTGGTTGCCTTTGCCTTTAAATGCTGCACAAGAGTTTAGCAGGCTTATGAGATGTTGGTAATAAGCTGTTTCTCATGGCATGTGTGGTTTGTGCACTCATGCCACATACATGTGTCAGTGGGAATACTTCAATTAGAAGTTTTAACAGATGATATCTATACATAAAGGAAACTGTGGAAAATAGGATGGGGAAAGCTATGAATAAAAAACACTCATGTAGTTTGGCCCCAGAGATTACTAGCAAGACATCAACACATCTTGCAATCTGCCCTTTTAAAAATGTGTTTGTGGGTTGGCCATGTTTGCTCCATGTAATCCCAGCACTTTGGGAGGTGGAGACAGGAGGACTGCTTGAACCCAGGATTTCAAAACCGGCCGGGGCAACTTAGGGAGACCCCCATCTCTACAAAACATTAAAAAATTAGGAGCATGCTACCACGCCTGGCTGTCTATGGTCCCAGCTACTTGGGAGGCTGAGGTAGGAGCATCACTTGAGCCCTAGAAGTGGAGGGTACAGTGAGCCGTGATCGCACCACTGCACTCCAGCCTGGGTGACAGAGCCAGTCCCTGTCTCAAATAAATTCATTAATTAAATACTGATGCAGCGAGCTTTTCTCCCGTTATTTAGAATTTGTTGCAAATATTTGTCAGTCACCATATTCTCCTGGGCAAATGGCCTACTGTGTTAACTACCCATCCTCTCTGGAATCCAACCACTCTCTGGAATCCTGGCCACTGTGCTGCTTTCTGCTTTTTAACCTTCTGACTCTGGGAAGCGGGCGGGGGTCCTGCTGAAACCCTGTGCAGGGACAAGGGTTCCCGGGACGGTTCCCTCCACAGCAGGGTGTGCATCTGACAGCCTGTGCTCGCTCTCTCTCTCTCTCCCCCCTCTTGCCCCGCAGTGCCAGGCTTCCCGTATCCAGCAGCCACCGCCGCGGCCGCCTACCGAGGGGCGCATCTGCGAGGCCGCGGCCGCACCGTGTACAACACCTTCAGGGCCGCAGCGCCCCCGCCCCCGATCCCGGCCTATGGCGGGTAAGTGGGGCAGCCTCCTGGGCGGGCCTCCCTGCACCAGCCCTGCCTCCCCCAGAGGCACGGAACTGTTTGTGAGCGCATGACGGTCTTGATTCCCCCTCTCTGCCACCCCCAGAACTGCCCCCAGCATGCAGCCCGCGCGCACCTGCAGTGGAGCACCTTGCTAAGAGTATTGAAAAATGAGTGTAATTTGTCCTGTCATGGTTGGTGCCTTTAAGCACTCTACATGTCACATGTTGTTATGTAAATTCTCTTTGAGACTGAATGCTGGAGAACAGAGAAATGGTTACAGTCAAAGGTGTATTTCTGATGATTGCAAACATCTGGTTATTAAGGAGGTTGGACCACATTTGCTCCTTCAATTCCTCCACAGAAAGACGTGAGGTTTTCACACATAAAAATCACTGGGGTGGTCTTGCTCCCCCTCCCCAGGGGTATCTTGAGCTTCAAGGTTCTCTAACCTTTGCCTGCAAAGAGAAAATTAGGTGTTGAGTCACATGCAAACATACAAGAATTAATGAAATTGGAGTTAAGATGCGTTGCAGTTGCATTTTCCATAATGGCATTTGCCTTCCTTTCTCCCTCTGTGGGGACAACGCAAATTGGTTTCCCATTGCCAATTTGATCCTTCTGTGCATGGACTTTGATACTGCCAGGCGAATATCAAGGAATGGTGTGAATGCTCAGTAAAAGAAAAAAAAAATGGTACTGGCGTGTTGGGTGGCAGACTTGAAATACTAGTCCCTCTGTCCCTCTTTTAGGGATCCTGCTTGAATATTCTTGTACCTCTGCAGTCCGGGAGAGGGGGATGCCTCCAAGGCAGTGGCCTTAGAGCAAGGGATATTTGCAAGGTCTAGAGACATTTTTGGTTGTCACAGCAGGAATAGAGAGATGCTATGTCCTCTGCTGGGTAGAGTCTAGGGATGTTGTTTGACAGTCCCCAACAAGAAAGAATTATCAGGCTCAAAGTCAGTCGTGCTGCAGCTGGGAAACTCTGCTCTATGTTAAATTCAGCAGTCCCCAAAAGAGTCTGGCATGTGCCTTCCCTGCCCAGTGACTGGCTTTCTGGTGTGCAAAAGAAAATATGGCTGCATTTAAGACTGTGTGAAAAGGGTTAAATGCCCTTTTTATAACTCTTGCTTGTAAATCTTTCAGAAAATCTGTATTAGCCTAGATCTATTATACTCATGACAAAAAGAAACACTTTTTCATTATGTATTCATTCCAAACCAGAGCATTTGAAATGTTTCAAAAATAAACACAATAAAATAGTAAAAAAAAAAAAAAAAAAGACTAGGTAAAACCATCAGGGAAGGGAAAATTAAGGAAAAGTAGTAAGCATGTCCATCAAATTTCTTGTGTAGTCATTAGAATTGGGTCAACTTTGAGCTTCTTGGACAAACCAAGAGTTATCTCTATATATACACATATTGTAACTGAAAACATGGTGAATAGTAACAAACAAGAATCAATTGGCCATAAATTCTCCCTACCACCTATCAAATATATTTGCATGTCTTAAGCCTTTTATGTGACCATGCACTGAAGGAATTGTTGATAGTGTAATTTTTAATGTCTGGTATCACAGCATTGAGCACATTTTATGGATCCAGAAATGCAAAAATGAAGATTATTCCCAAGGTCATGTAATGAGTTATGAAGGAAAAAGAAAATCCGAAGTTACCTTTGGGCTCATGTAATTACTAAAGCAAGATTCCTAAGTTATAAATGCAAAATTGCACACTTATACCACATTCATTTGAAAATTGTTCTCAGTACATGGCAACTGAAGCGTTTTGGTATATCTACCGTCAGTATCTCACTACTATATTAAACAGCAAAAGAAATAAAGGAAAATTATATGGCTTATCCTCACACGAACAATTTATAAACATCTCAGAATAACACACCTGCTGTAAAATCAAAATTAGCTAACTTATAATGAACGTGCTGTTTGTTGGGAATAGCCATGTGTAACTAATTAATGCCATGTTCACCAGGGAGAGACACAACCATTTCCAAATGATGAAACAATGTGTTTGTAACTACTTGGGATGAAAATTAATTTTAATATTCCAGCAATATCTGTGATCAGTTTGGTTATAATGGTGGATTGTGCCTCCTTCCTGATAATAGTATGGCTAGAATTCTAAAGCCATACTTAGAAGCAAGATCAAATTCTCAACAAAGAAGTAGAAGCCCCAGCAGGACTGGGGTTGCAAGCATTCATGTGTACAATAATCTATTAGAGCAAGGTACTGGTCAAAAAGAAGGAAATTCATCTGGTTGCCTGGGTGTTTCACTGGATTACAAACTGCCGAGAGTGAATTGGTACTGAATGAAAAACTTTGAGCCCAACGTCTTAAAGGTTTCCTTTTCCTCTGGAATAAATAGATTAGGCTGCGGGAGATGGCAGGGGGATGGTTCCTCTTGGAAAGGAAGAGAGCAGAGTGGGACACAGGGCAGGAGTTGGCTGAAAGAGTAAGGACCCTTATCTTGTGTTCAGTGAAAACAAGTAGCAAAGAGGTTGGAAATACTTGTTTTCAGGACATAGCATCATCAGGATTCACGTTGTCCAGAAAGCGCATTTTCTGTAGCCTTTTGTCTCTAAAGTCCTTTGGAGGAAAACTTCTAGATTTGACTGATGTCTTTACCCCAGCCCAGTTCAGGTCACCCTATGGCCCTATGACTGACACCTATTGTGCTTCAGGGCACTGTTGTGTGCTAAAGAGACCAATGGCACCTTGAGAGGTATTTCTTCTGGTTGGGGCAGGGGGTGACATACGAGCCAACAATTTCAATAAACATAAGTGATCCAAGAGGGTATTATGTGAATACCAGGGCAAGGTCCTTAGTCTAGCTTGGGTGTTTACAGAAGGCATCCTAAAAGAGAAGAAATAGGGGATACATGTAAGTCCAAACATTTCCTAAATTGCCACAGTGAAATCTTATCCTGTGACCCCTCCCCCACCCACACCCCCAAGCAATCTTCATCTTTTCTAAGATGTCACCTAACAAACTGCATTTAAGAATTTATTGTTTCCACTGTCACCAATTCAAGGCATATCTGACAACCTAAATCTGTTCTTCCTGAGGTATCCAATATCAATCTATATTGTTACTAAAATACCAGTCAAAAATGTATCCTAGGTCCATGCATGGCTTCAATCTTCTTCCTGGGAGATTCAAGAAAATATCCTTTAGAATCTCCATGGCTACCTTTGTGGAAGCTTGGGTGACCCTTGGAGGTATCCAACAAAGATAGTCACATGAGTCGAGTCCTTAAGGATGCCCTACATTCATCAATTTCCTTTAAAAAAAAAAATTTTGAGACAGAGTCTCGCTCTGTCACCCAGGCTTGAGTGCAATGGTATGACCTCGACTCACGGCAACGTCCAACTCCTGGGTTCAAGCACTTCTCCAAACTCAGCCTCCTAAGTAGCTGGGATTACAGGTGCCCGCCACCACACCTGGCCAATTTTTGTATTTTTAATAGAAATGGGGCTTCACCATGTTGGCCAGGCTGGTCTTGAACTCCTGACCTCAGGTGATCTGCCCACCTGGACCTCCCAAAGTGCTGGGATTATAGGAATGAGCCACCGTGCCCAGGCATTCATCCATTTCCTTTTCTTGATTTGCCTTTTCCTTTCATGTCTTGATATTTTCTGAAGCCCTTCCATGCAGCTGAAGAACACAGGTAATGAAGATGCCCTGTTCTGTTTTATCTCACCTGCCTAAATAGAAACCTCCTGGGACATTAACACATGATGATTCCTCCAGGCATAGGGACAGTCGTGGATCATGGTGGGATCATAGGTACAAGTGGAAAACCCTATACCAAACCAACCAACTCCCAACTGAGTCCCAAATGCCAACATCAACTGAATGAGACCGAGTGAAGAGTTAGAAAGTAATGTCTACATAGGTCTACATAGTCTATGGAATTTTACAGTCCTAGGAAGACACTGGATTTAAGGTGAATAAGACTGAGCCCGAATATTCTACCCATACTGGCTTGGATAACTTACTTAATGTCTATAGAGAGTTTCCATAAGAGAGAGTGGGGATGTATCTGCCCCCGTAGAGTTGATAGAGGGTGAAGTAGGGAAATTCATGTAAGGTGACAACGTGGTCCATCCTGTGACATGCATTCAGTGAACTGTGCCTGCTGTTCTCCAGGTTGGTGAACTTAGTGACTGTATTAACCACCCATAGTCTACTTTCTCAACATCCCTTTTGCTTGTGGTTGAGTAAACAAGAAGACCCCATGTCTCCCCCTCTATGCATTATTTATCTTTGCTAGGGGGCACATGCAGTTTCACAGACCTCCATTTCCTTCAAGAAATGGTTGAGGCATTTCCACTGCTTAGGGAATATGTAGATTGCAAATACAATATTGAGTAGGGAACAGTCAGCAGAGCAGAGTCGAGTTTTCCTTATTTCTCCTTGCCTTTGATCCTGGAGTCAATTTGATTGAGAAGCCACAATGCCCAGTCTAGCTTCCTAGGATTCACATTTGGGAGGAATTACCCATCAGGTAATTGCTCTTCAGGGAGCTCACAAGCTTATTATCTATGCATCAAAACGGCAAGTGGAGGCATTGGAGACAAACCCTATAGACTTAGTAATCTCTGATGTTAGAAAACAGCAGCTAAACCCCAATCCCCTCCCTTATCGAAGAGAAACTCCATGAGTACCTATTATGTACCATGCATATTTCAAGGGAGTACAATGGGGTGCTCTGATGGAGCATCACATGTGTTATTTTTGAGATGGAGTCTTGCTTTGTCACCCACGTTGAAATGCAGTGGTACAATCTCGGCTCACTGCAAACTTCTCCTCCTGGGTTCAAGCAATTCTCCTGTCTTCAGCCTCCCAAGTAGCTGGGGTTATAGGCACATGCCAACCACACCTGGCTAATTTTTTGTATTTTTAGTAGAGACAGGGTTTCACCATATTGGCCAGGCTGGTCTCAAACTCCTGACCCTGAAGTGATCTGC